ACTGCCAGCTCTGAGACACTGAATCATAAGAGAAGTGCACTTTGTTAAAGCCTGACTTTGGCTCAGCTGGTCATATAATCCTAAAAGGATTTTGCCTCTGATTAATTTCAACCTGTCAGTAGAGGTCTCCCAGCAGTATGGAGGAACCTGCCACCCTGAATGTTTCCAATTAATACTACTTCTCAGAAGGTGCCTGGATAATCCATCAAGAATCTTAATTAAATCCAACCAAATGGATGACAACTAACCATTAAGGGAGTGGCTCTCTTGGGACACTGGCTGAAGAGTGCACACGGAAGGATGGCAAGGGAGGCAGATGGCTGCTTGTGTAACACAGCAAAGCCTGGTTGAGCAGTGATGTCCCCCATGGCTGTGTTTCAACTCCATTTGTCCTGTTCCCAGTCCTTTAGGAGTTACTTGTTCTTCCATGCCAGTTAAAACTACCCTCTGCCAAGGTGCATAAGGAGCATTTCTGCTGTGATTTCTCAGCTGCTGTCCTCTGCAGACCAATTCCATGGGAAGAATCTCATTCTCCTTCCCCTCTAAACATCCACATCCACTGTTGCTTGGCTCACTCTATTCAACATCACAAAGGACCCAGAGATCTTTCAGTTTGAAAATTACTACAGTGACAGAAATAAGAAAAGGTGATTATTTTTCAGTTCTAGAAGTCATCAATGTTACGTACCAAATTAGTGTTCCTCAGTGAGGTTACATGCTTCCTAGAAATTGCACTCCTTGCTAAAGGACAGAAAACATGGACTGTTAGTTAAGTATATAAAATACCCAGCTTCTTAGTGAAAAAATAGGCAGCACCCAGTATTACAGTTTTGGCAGGAGAATAAGAACTTTACCTTGTCCAGCACAATGACTTTGATCACTACATTTTTAACCTTCTGTCAGACATTTGCTTCTCTTCTCTCACCTCTCAGAGGGCATAAATTTAGCCTAGCTTGTCAAACCAATGCTGAGACACAGCATCAATAGACTCTACTAGTGTTCCACATGAGCATTAATGAGGAGATACCTATTTTTAGAACACTAATGCTAGTGAATAAAGCTACACTGACGGCTTTCAAATCCTCCCTGTAGTCACACAGTAAACAGGCAAAATGCATAACAAGTAAAGAAGACAGTAACTCTAGTTAGAAGCCTACCAAAGCACTTACAGAGGTCATCTCTTTATCATCCTCAATATTTGATATCTTTGCTAAAATTCCTGAGATTGATTAGTCTCAGTTGTGTGTTGTTATTATTAGTACGAGTACCTGCACTGTAAGAACCTGATTAAGAAAACTGTTCTTTGCATTGTTCAGTCTGAGTATCATATAAGCCTTGTAGTAGTCACAACATGAGTGTTGACATTCAGTCACCATCTAGCTTGTTTGGATTTAAAGCAGTAAAGAAATACAGTTAGCAATCAAGAACAGATATAAGAAACCTTTTTCCAAAACATGAATAGTTACTGCAGTGATCTTCCTCCTTGTCTGCATTCAGATGTTTACTTTAGTAGAAAGACAACTAGGATCATAAATTGAATTCACTTTGGCTAAGACTGGCAGCAATCTCTGGACATTATATAGCAATCCTTTCAAATGCACTATTACGTAAATTAATCACAAACTCCTCTAGGGCATGAATCCTCCCACCTCCTCCAAACATCAGAATAGAGGTGAAAGCAAAACCCTGGTGACAGAACCACCTTTATGCAACATTTTACTGTCCTTGCTGTGCAGAGAAGTGGATGCTGTGGAGGTCAGTCAGCAGCCTGGAACAGAACTGCAGCCACAGCTCTTCAGCCAGCTGGGGAGCATTGCTGCCTTTCCAGCCCCTGAGGAGTCTGCCTGGCAGCTACACAAGGTGTTCATACTATACACTGCAAGAACTATTTCAGCCTTAATGCTTGCTAACCATGCACAACATGTGAAACATGTTGTATATATTAATACAGGCAATAGACACACTGTTTATAAATCATGGACACGGACATAGAGGAGACAATAAAGCTAGTATCTATTACTACAGAAAGAACTCTGCAGGTGCAAGAGAAACAAAAGGCTTGGGTGAACATCACAGCTGTGAGGAGTGCTAACTGATACTCATTACCTTTTGAGATGTTCACCACCTGTAAGGCTGTAAAAAACAAAGCTAGGAAGACCGACTCAGAAGAGAAACCTATTGCAACTGTCTCATGACTTCATTGCAAACTAAAATTTGTACTTTGAAAAACTCAGACAAAACCCACAGAATATCTGTGATAAAGTTACTTTCATATCTGTGCCACTTTTGTGCCCATGTAAAGAAGGGATATCACAATCAGAAATATTCACACTTGGCATGAAGCTCAAAGCAATGGGCTTCATTGTACAATGTATGTACACACATATAGGAAAAGCAAACAAACAAAAAACCCCAAACTCTGTAGATAATAAACAGTAGTGAAGGAATACTTGGTTGTGAACTAGCAAATAAATTCATCAGGGTCCCACGGAGTAAGTTTTTATCTGGGTTTGCCAGCCACTTTTAAGTTTGTACCACCGTATCCTCAATGCTATTCTTAGTTGACAAACAGGCTCATTCTGCTGAGCAGGAAGGCAAAGGGAGGCTTTAGGACATCACTAATCAAGAGCTAAGCAGGTGCTATGATACACAGGCTTATATTGGTACTCCCCTCTGTTCTTCCTGCAAGGAAAATACATTAAACGTAGCACGTCTAATTTTGGAAACAGCAAACAGATTATAACAAATACCTGGACTTGGTTATAAATACTGCACTTCTAGAAAATCTACTGAAATTACAGGATAAAACAGCAAAAGCAGAATGTGCTACTACTTTGTTCTTATTTTTTTATGTTCAGTCCAAAAAGCAAGATCAGAATTTCTCCTCCTATCCCACCAAACACGTGAACAAGAAAAGCTTTTGAGAGATACCTAATTAAGAGAAACATGCAGTCAAAGAAGACTGAATGATTTTCTATACTGAAACATGAAATGAAGAGAATCTGAAGTAACTGAAGGAATTAATTCTAACAATTTATTTAAATATCATTAAACTCTTCAGTAGAAGTTGATAATAAGAACTAAAGCAGCTTTAATTTATTTTATCTTAATTTACTTCTCAAGCACCTTGTGGCCACTTCAGTCTGGAATACACATATCTGTAATCTTAAATCTGATTTGAATAATCCACTTTAACAATACATTCACATATATTCACTTAGGTATTCATGTCTAAGTAACTGAAAAAAAGGAAAGCAAACTGATGAATGCACTTTAGCTGAATTACCACTTACTATTATTGCAGAAGAGAGACAAGAAAGCAGTCTTCTCCTAAAGAAAAAATAAATCAGGTGAGATCAGTGTATGGCATGTGCATTTTCTACATTTACAAGAATCCAGTGACATTTATGAGCCTGAAGTCTCCTCTGTCAAGATGCCATGATTTTAACACTGCCATATTGTTGTATCACCTGAGAGGCATTGAAAAGCAGATCATAACCCACATTGATATTATACATATAATATCAAATCTATAACATTAGGAATGGGAGTTTGAGGGAAAAAAAAATAAAGTGATCCATATAGAGTTGTGATAATCCAGGTAGCGACTTAATTAGGAACAGAACACAGATTCAGTCCTGTTCCTAACTTTTACTAAAGGCTTCAGACTTCCCATAGCAACACATGAACTGCCTTACAAAATGAAATTACTGCACAGACTTTAGACTGTCATTACCAACATTCCATCTTAGGCATGGACAGACTCTGGCTATTTGGTCAGCAGTTCCTTCTGGAGAGGAAGGAGAAGCACAATACCATGATACCATTAGAGACATTGCTGCAGTGTGGCCGTATTTGCCCCTGCTTTTAAACCCATGACATTAATGAATTGTCTCCCTCCAGTGCAAGAACAATTATTTGAAAAGGCTACCCACACAGCAGGGAACAGTGGACTTTATTTATATCTGTAAGAGATACAGGCTCTGCAACAAGGAAGATGTAACCACATGTCATCACTTACTTTAGGAACTCCAGTGACAGACAAGGACCATACCGTGTCAAGATCTGGTGGAGATACAAAATGAAGTCAGTGCACCAGATCCTGATCAGCCACTTCAGCACAGGAAGGCCACAAGGGCTGTATCCAAACTGCACAAAACCACTAGAAAGGCACCATTGTTCAAATGTATTGATTTTTTGCAGAAAGCTGCAGATACTCAAAAAGAACAAATCAAAGGCCTCCAAACTGCTATCATTAAGGAAATTACAGGAAGTCAAAATTATAGCCAGGATTTCAGATTTTATGGAGACTTAACCAAAGCATACTGATTTTACTCTGGTTTTGCACTCTTTCAGATAATACATTTTCTGCTGTGCAACACTTTGTTGAAAGTTGTGAATTAAATTATTTAGTCTCTCTTCCCATTGTCTCTCATGCTTATCACCTGGTAAGTTAGGAAAAGAGGAAATTTAGGCAGAGACTAAGTGACCTGCCCATAACTACTCAGTTACTCTGAAAAGCAGGGGTATTTGAGGCATGCTTACATGAGGAGAAGAGACTTTATTGCTACAATTTCATAAGGCACAATTGCTCTCCACAGACATTTGTCTTTTGGAATCGCATCACCGGAGAACTTACTTGTTAATAGCAGCTAAAAGTACACCTTAATAAGGAGAATAATGATGGCTAAAATATTTATAAAAAGGGATTAATATTTTGGAGATTAAAAAAATCCCTGAAATAACTTGGGGCATTTGAGCAAGTCTGACAAGGTGTTCCTCTGAAGTCATATAAGCCACAAGGAAACCATACCAAATGCAAAAGGAGAACAAATTCTTCTGTTGCCTCACGTGTGAAGCTACTCCTGACTTGCAGGTGTCAACACCACAGAGCTGGAATTAAAATCAAAGCAGTTGCCAAGACCTCTTCTGCTGAAATCCAATCATAACAGAATCTTACTTCATGCACCAGAAAAAAAAAGCACCTCTGTGAGAGTTTTTCTTCTATTTCAAAGCAAACACTTGGAGAGAGGTAAGAATCTGCAGTCTCAACTTTCAATGCCATTCTCAGTTCAAGCTCTTACAAAGATGGGTCAGTGTTGCCTTGTCCTCTTGAGAAAAATTTCATGCATATAGTCCCAAAATCTTCCCTGATGCGACTCATTGCGATGAATCATAGCAGTGAGGGCCTCACCCTGATCAAGGCTTTGCCAATAATCCTGCAGCCACATCTCTTTCCAACTGAAACAAAAAAAGAGACACCACCATAATCCATTAAAAAAAACAAACAACAAACAGATTAGTCTGCAGCTGTGGCAGCACTGAAAGCATTCTTCTTTCACCTATGAGGAAGACAAGCCCAGAGATGGGCATACTAAATTATACTGTTAGCATGCCATTGTACTCCGAGTCAACTTGCTATGAAAATTCTCTACAGAAAATATGTCCACTATTAGCTTTACAGTATTCTAGAAATATTAGCATATAACAATAGAGCTGACCAAAGAGACTAAATTATTAGAGAAAAAAACCTTCTGTTAGAATAAAATCTAGCACAGAGTCCCTGCATGACTTGGAGAGTGGCCTTCCATGGCCAGTATACATGTTACACTTAGCCTAAGAATTATTTGTTTTTCCCACATAAGCCATTTAACAACTAGAGGATGACAGCTACTCATTACAAACTCAGGTTATACATGGCAGAAACAAAAAAAGCATTATATCCCTCAACCCTGATTCCATTCTTTATCTCCAAACTAGACAGTCAAGTATAGGCTTTCTCTTTTTCAGTGCATACATGCTCAAACAATTCATTGCACAGATTACATCACTGCAGCTTTCAGTGGTTCTCTCCCCGTTCGTGTTCACGTGGAGTACTTCCCTCATTCATGTCACATCAAGGTAAGGCAACAATTTACTCACCTCTTCTCCATTATATCTGCTACCCAGCCATATAGGCCCATCACAAATTTTGAAAAGAAGGACCAAAAATGATGCTCTTTTTCATCTGTTCATACGAATTACCCAGTGCTTGTTAACTTACATACAGAGCTTTTTGCTTCTTCTCCCTCCCAATCACAGAAATAAGTACAGTGTCTTCTGCACTCACTCTATACACCATATATTAAATCAAGTGTGGCTGCATTGCCCAGAAGCAGATCTCACCCTCTGCTCCAGGAAGACCAAAAGAAACACACCATGTATCATAGTCTCTTTCTTTGTGGAACAGCATATGCTCTAGGAACTGGCTTTCTGTGGTACATGCCATCATCTGTGGTGTGATGTTGCTGCAGTGTACACCAACAGAGACCACAAAATAAAGCTTTTAATACAGATTATAATGTGAAGGATCATAGACAGAGGCTTACTTCTGCATTAGAAAATAAAAAAAAAAAAATCTGCTGAAAGTTTCCTTTGTAAAATGCAGCACTTGAATGTACTGTGAGATCACATTGCTTACCAGCTAATTTATTATCCTTTGTTCAAGGACTGCCAACATGAGTTACTTGGTTTTTTATAGCACTGAGTAAGGGCACACATTAAGAAAATGAGTATACTTGCATTAAGTACTAGACACAAGAATAAGTGGCAGCAGATAACAGAAAAAAGAAAAAGCTTTCCAGCTGAACTCTTTGGAAACAACACTGAAAGGAATTCCAGCATTCGAGTGGAGATTTCTGTCAAAAACATTACATAAGAATACTCTGGTATTTTTCTTTCTACATTGCTGTTACCGTTTTTTAGGACAGTAATTTCACCGAGTCTGTAACTTGGAAAAAACTGGTACCCCTGGATGAACAAGCTTGTCCAAATATCCTGAAACTACAAACTACATACACCTGAAATGTTACTACGATGAGGCATAAATCTATCTTCAATCCTGGCTGATTATTTGATTCCATTGCAAGAGACACCTCACAGCGTACACATGGCGAATCTGAAATACATTTAAACTGGTTTTTCTCTTGTAATAAACTGTAACTAGCAAAACCATGATGGTTTCAAAATATTCCTTTATCAAAAGACACACTCTCTTCTCTTTTCTCATGCTACCACAGAGCATAGGTAACTGGAAGCATATTGTCACTTAGTCTTCTTATAGTTATCCTCTGAAACACCCCTCTTTTAGAAAATGAATCCTCATCAGTGAAACAACCCAAACATTTCTCTTCACAAAGGTGAAAGTCCAAGAATAACTGGAGAGTCTGGTTCCTACTGAACAGATACTCTACTCATCAGCAGCACTGTAACTCACTATTTTCTGTACAAAGCAGCCAAGAATTCAATGGATTATAGTGACCAATCTGTAACATAGCATACAAATGGCTGTCCTACAGCCATTCCTCTTAAGTAAGCTCTTCTCAAGCTTGTGGTTGTGAAGCCCTGAAGTCCAAATAGAAGTGAGCTGGCAAGCATATTTAGGAACTATGTCTCCATGCTAAAGGACAGCAAGGTGGAGTAATGCACTCCAGCTACCTACACCTACACCAAGAGAGATTCTGATGCAACAGTTCTGTCAGTTCAGCACATCTGTCAGCCCTGAAAACAAATTACATCTGGGAACCAGGGTTACAGAGCATGCAGAAGCACAGGGTAACCTTACTGTAATTGGATACTTGCTCTAAAAATCTAAAACCACTAATTGCCTTTGTTGTTCTCCAAATTCCAGAAGCCTCCAGAGCTCCAAGCCACAGTGTATGTTTACAGTCTGATCTTGTACATTGCATATAGTCTATCACCTCTAACCCCACCAGGCCTGCACCATCTTTAAACAACGTTTTCCAAAGTAACAAAATACACAAGTGACTGCCTCAACAGACAATCAACCAATCACACCATTAACATAACATCACTGGCAAACTCTGACAAAACATGAGCACGTTTTAGCTGGTGCTTTCTGAGCAATTTTACGTTACTGCCACACCATTTACAATTTCAAGTAATCATGTTCCACTTGGAGATAAAGATGGTGGAAGCGCAGCTGCTTATGAGACAGAAACCACTGCATTTCAGTGGAGAACCCCTTGGTCGTGCCTTGGAAGGTACAGATGTGTATCCTTCTAAAGTAAATAGCAGATAATATAAAAGCTTCCCTGGTACAATTTTTCCAGAGACATCTCATGCCTACAAACAGGGGGAGAATAACAAACTATGGTTCAATGAGAAACGGAAACTTCTGTGGGAAGCAAGCACAACTTGGACAATGGGTCAGTTGTTCAAAACTCCCTGCTGCTGATCACTGCACAGAACAATGGGAGTACTCAAGCATGCAAGGAAGTGGCACAGGCAGCCATGCTGTGCCTTCAAAGGTATTCCTCTGCTGCCATCTGCTCCTCCAGCAAAGGAAAAGCTATCAAAAAGTGGAGAACACTCCTGCAGAGTAGGATGCTGCACAGCTAGCTACCAGGCAAAAATATTTTGCTACCAAGAAAGGTATTACTATAAAAAAGCTCCAATAAATCAACCAACCAACAGAAAACAAAGGATTATGGACCCCTTTTATTTACAAGCATAACTTCTTAATTAGTCACTATGAGAAATAATTGTACTATGAAAAATGCTTTTTAATGACAAACATCACAAGTTTTGTGAAATATGCATTTCCTAACAACCTGAAAGACCTCAGGCTTATTTTGCTTTTTTAATGTCAGTAGGCCATTTTGAAAGCACTCAAACACAGGACAAAGTAGTTCCCCATATTTATAATATTTTTCATACTTTTTTGTCGATGGATAACGCAATAAGAAATTTTTTAGAGCTTCACATCCACATAGAACCAGGTTAGCACACTTGAAATAATGGACTCTATATTTTCACCACACTGTTTCTTCTAACATTTTAACACTCCTAAGCATTCAATTCTTTAGTCTAGGAAATTATTAATAAAGCTGTAATCTGATATAAACTGGAATAGAGTATATTGACAACTCCCTTCTAGACAGTGCATGAGATTCCAAGTATTTTCCAAGGGTCATTAGTACTACACTGGAAGTGACATCAGAACTTGGAAATCGTTGGTGATCATTATGAGCATAGGCAAGATCTGCTATAGCTGAGGGTTTATCTTTAGGAAGGCTGTCTGACAGCTTACAGAAAGTCTGTTCTCTATCCTGTATGGTCCCTCCTTCCTGAATAAATGGGCTGTTGTCCTTTAGCACAAGCCATAATTTTGACACACAAAACAACAAAACATCTTGTAAAGTATTCTGGGAAAGCCTAACTTTTGCTCTGAAGTCAACAGCAGTTAACTAGCCCTGCACTGAACAGCAGCAACCCCATTCTTAACACAGTATTTTCTAATGAGGTACAGAGCTCCTTTCACCCAAGGACTACCAAGTGCTTTACCATCACTGTACCAAAAAACATCTCTTCTCCAAGCAAGCAAACAAACAAAGAGGGTAACACAGACAAAGGATAAGCAAATTGCCAAAGGTCACAGAGCATTTTAACAGTGTGGGTGTTTCATGCTCTTCATTCAACCACTAACCAATACCACCATCTATGTCTCTTTTCCAGCCTCAGAAGTACACAATATTAGCAGTATTACCATACCATCCACAAGACATAATATACAGCGTAACCAGAGATGGGTTAAGAGATCCTTTAAGTACAAAGCAATACTAAAAGTTACAGCTACTACTATTTGAAGGGTTTTTTTCTTCAAAAAGCATAGTATTGACACATTACCTGTCTCCTCCAGAGAGGTCTTCAACACTTCCAAACCCAGGAGTTGGCATAGGACATCCCATGTGCTTGAACTGAGCTATGCGAGGTCTGGGAGCTGGAATCTTCCCATGAGACTTTTTGTGTTCCTGCTCCTCTTTGAGCCTGGTGTTTTCCCTGTCACAGATGAAACACTCGAAGCCATTCAGATAATTGGGCAGAGTCATGTCATTCACACCCCACTCCCGCCTCTCCAAGCTGTCTAGCAAGAGCTGGTTTTCAATTCCACCAAGGTTTTTATACTCTAGATACTTCATATATTCGTCTCCATTCTTGTCCAGGAAATCAAGGTACTTTGCCAGCTCTTGGGGGCTGTCAAAGTCATCTATAAGAATGATGGAAAGGTTGTTTGGCATCCAGTCCCGCACAGCTGGGGAGCCTCGGTACACTGGGACAGCACCCAGGTGCATGGGACGCCACAGCTTCTCTGTCATGTAGTCATCACATATGGCATTCTCCAAGGCCAGATGAAACTTGTACCTGGCGATAAAAGCCATGAACTCAGAATCTTCTGTAGTGGCTGTGGAAGTGTCTTTGAGTCGCTCGCTGGGCAGCTCACGGTTATGTAGGCATTTCCCATAGGAGTCAACCTAAAATAGCAACCAGCATCAGCATCTTTACAAAGTGAATTGTTTGCCCAGAGCTTGTAGTTCTCATAAAATCCCTAACTTTGATTGATTCCTCGCTACCTTAGTTTAGCTTCACTTTCACTCCAAGTTCTTTCCCTTGTGACTATTCCTAGAGTCCCAGTTCTAAAACCTTTAGAGAAAAGCTAGTACTCATTTTAAAACACGGCAAAAACTATGCTATGCACAGAAGGGTGGAGGGAGTGCACAGGAAGATGTCACGCCACCCTAATGTATTTATTAGTGGATAAATCAGAAACTGAGCGAGAGTGAAGGGCATTCAACTCTGTGCTAATTTCAAAGTAATCTTTCTACTTAACAGAGACCAAGTATTTATTTCCTGAACAGTTATTGCACACAGTTCCTGTCAAACTCAGCAGGCTGGCAAAAGCCTTCCATTTGTTAGATTGAGAAAAACTGATGCAGAGAACTAAAATACCATCTATAAATGAAATACAATACACCTGATCTGGAATCTGCTCCGTACTTTGACAATACACAGCTACATTAAAAAAATTCTTTTGTCTTTGCTTCACTATCGAGTACGTGATGACCTCGCACAATAAACGCATCATGACCAATAGAAACAGCAGAAGTAACCAGGAAATAGATATTTTAGATAAAGATAAAAAAAAAAAACATTCTTTTTTTCCCCCTAATCTACCATTCTTCAGAATTGGTAAGGTAAAAAACCAACACACTTCTTTTCTGCCTGAAAGAAACTACAGCATTTCAGTTTATGAAGCTCTCTCGGTCAGCTGTGCCAGAGCAGTACAAACCACCACAGGAGTAACACGGTCCCACCGCAACGCAGATCAGGAGCAGATTCTCAAAACACAGCAACCTGTCCTCTTATTGCACACCTACGCTTCTAAAGCAGAGCAAGGCTTGTAAAGGGACAGCCTTCCTGGACGCTAACGTAAAGATCCAGAGATCCCAGCAACTTGTAGCACTTGCTCCACAACGCAAAGCTTATTCACCCCTAGTGATCGATCCCGCGCCTGTCCAACTCCACAACTAACGGCTACCACCAGGCCTACCTACTGGCACGCGGTGTAGTCTAGCGCCCGCTTTGGGAAGGAATACAACTAGTCTTTCTGTCCGGCTTGTAGTCGGCACGCATCCCGCTAGGATTCGCCTCTCGGCTAAAAACAAGGACAAACAAACCCCGTTAAAAACCGGCGCCGGGGCACAGCCCGGCGC